TAAATATTATGTTTTAATTTTAATTTTTGTGATAATTACTGAAATTTAGGAATGATTGGCCTCCGTGTTGACATTGCATCCTGTAACTATTTGAAAAGTGCTTATCAGGTTCAAGACCCTTTTGATCTTTGCTCTTAGTTCTTACACCAACAGTTGGGATATCTTGAAGAAAGACAATTTGACTTCATCCTTCTCAAAAATGTGCATTGGTGTACTTTTTGTTATTTATTTGAAACAGGCCTCTCATAAAAGTCCCACAAGCTAACAGGTTGCACAACTGAGTTCTTGCAGAGGGTCTTTTTATGTAGCTAAGGCTGGCCTGGAACTCATTATATAACTCAGTCTGGTCTCAAATTCATGATCCTTCTCCCTCAACGTTCCAAACACTGGGGTTACAAATGTGCATATGTATATACTTATTTAATTTTTGTTTTATTGCATTAGCTATGATTTCAGCAATGATATTGTAAAGAAGTTGAAGTGAGAAGGGGCATCCTTACCTTGTGCATCTGTATATATTTATTTTATTTTATTCCATTAGCTATGATTTCTGCAATAATACTGTAAAGGAGTCATGGTGAGAAGGTACATACTTACCTTGTTTATGATATTAGTGGGAAAACGACTCATATTTCACCACTAATATTAGCCAACCAGTTGTGGAGCACTCAGGAACCTGAGGTAGGAAGATAGTCTGAGGCCAGCCTGAGCTACATAATGACTTAAAGGCCAGCCTGAGCTATATAGAGAAACTCTTGTTAAAACACATGTAACTCTCTCCATACACCAAAACCCTGTGTGGAATATTTTTTTATAGACTGTAGAAGGGGGACTAGTTGGAAAGAAGGGAATCAGCTGGAGTTGGAGGAGGACAAAATGGGGAAATGGGGGTGAATATAGTCAAAATACATAATGAAAATGTCACAATGAAACCCATTCTTGTGATAATGAGTATATTTCTTATAAAAATTTTAAAAAGATCTTTGCATGTAACTCAGACTTTATCCTAAGGATGGGTACCATGTGCTAGTTGATAGGTCTTTAGCAACTTCACAAAATGAAGAGGCTGAATTCTGGTCCCTAAACTTTAGCCTGGGAATGTAAAGGTGATATTTTTAGCTTGGACACCTGGTTAATAAGAAGCAGCGTGGGCTAGAGAAGGTTGTGCTTATTCTAAAAGCTCACAAGGTGGGGGCGGTTCTCAGTTAAAAGGGAATTTAGCTTTTCTACCCTCTGACTGGTGGGCTCTCCTTATTTCCATTTCCTTGTCTCCCAAGCAGTCTGCACCGAGCGAGCTCCCAGTTTCCCCCACTGTATACATCTATTGCCCTTTGTTTGTTGTTCATTTTCCCCAGGCTCTCTGCTGGTTTAATCTTCCTTCTCCATCCACTCATACCTCAGCCCACTGGTTCTTTGAAGATCATTGCTCAGTGAAGGCTCCTCCAGTGCGTGGGCCGCATTGACTCTGGTCACTGAATTCCTCATGTACTATTTTACACTGGTAGCCATAGTCCTTTGCTTTCTGAAAAGCTTAAATTTTTTTAGTGCATGACTATGAGATGGCCTTCATCTTACTGATGTGTGTGTGTGTGTGTGTGTGTGTGTGTGCGTGCGCGCGCAGAGCTGGTGAACAGCATGGGATAGCATGGCCCATGACTAAGATAAAATCAACTGGCTTTGAGTTTATTAAAAGTGAAATTGCTGGGCTAGGGACGTCGTAGCTCAGTTGATAGAATGCTTGTTAAATAAGCATGAAGTCCTGGATTTGATTTCCCAATATGACAAAAACTGGTTATGATGGTACATGTCTGTTATCAAAGTATTCAGGAGGATAAAGAGGAGACAAGAGGATAAAAAGTTTAATATCATCCTCTTTACATATTGAGTTCAAGTCCATCCTGGGATACATGAGACCCTATCTCAAAAAGGAAAAAAAATTGAAAAAGAAAAATTTAAATGTGGGAACTGTTATGGGTGAACCCCATCTAATCAGGGGAACCCTTAAAAGGAATCAAAGAGATTTTTCTGCTGGCCATAAAAGAGCAAACAGTGTGCATGCTCTAGAGAAGACACAGCATAGGGAATGACAGACAGACCAGAAGCTGCCAGCAAGGAGGAAAGATTCCTGTAAGTGTGAAAAGGCTAACCTCAAGTCTCTGATAAGATGTTGCCATGAACAACACTATGACTCTACCTCAAGACTCCATAAGCTGCTTGGTCCTATGGCCTAAGGGACTCCAATGGGTATAGTTCTAAGCTGGGGGTGGTAGTATCTGTTGTTAATCAGTGAAATTACATATATCTAGTATTCTATATTAAGATTGAAGGCCTGTTCTAACTCTTGGATGGCCCGATGTGTCCCTGGTTTTAGTTCTAGAGGTTGGATACACCTGCTAGGCAGTGAATGCTAGTTCCACAGGGAGCTTGCTGTCTAATGGAGGGTGTCTTAGGGTTTATATTGCTGTGATGAAACACCATGACCAAAGCAAGCCAGGAAGGAAAAGGTTTGTTTAGCTTACACTTCCATATCAGTGAAGGAAGTCAGGACAGGAACTCAAGCAGGGCAGGAACCTGGAGGCAGGAACTGATGCACAGGCCACGGAGGGGAGCTGCTTACTGGCTTGCTCAACCTGCTTTTTCATGGAACCCAGGACTACTAGTCCAGGAATGGTATCACCCAAATTGGGCTGGGCCCTCGCCATTAATCACTAATTGAGAAAATACCCTACAGCTGGATGTTAAAGAGGCATTTTCTCAATTGAGGTTCCCTCCTTTCAGATAACTCTAGCTTGTGTCAAGTTGATATAAAACCATCAAGCATAGAAGACAAAGCTTGGAAATCTTTTTGAGGGATATTCATAAGAGCATTCTAACTCAAAGTTGGCTTTGCATTACCACCAAGCAGTACCATTTTGTTTTGTTTTGCTTCAATTTGCATTAATGGTAAAACTAAAATGCAAAATTTAATGTTTTTCTGGGATAATCTCACAGTACTTTATCATTTGCAAGAGCAGGGATCATACAAAACAGTGGTCAATGGAAATAATGACTTTGAAATAGAGTGAATATAGGATTTGTATTATTTGCAAAAATATGCCACACTTTGATCAAAATTCCATTATACAATTCCAAGTTATGTTTAATATAGGCTTAAACATGGTCTAAGGATGGATCTGTGAGATGACTTAGTAGGGTAAAAATGCTTCCCAAGACAACCTGAGGACCCAAGGTCCATCCCCAGAACCAATGTGGTAAAAGGAGAGAGCTGACTCCTGAAAGTTGTCCTCTGATCCCCACGTGTGCTGTGTCACATGTATCCACACATACACACAAAAGTAAACATACCCTAACTACATAAATGTATTTATGTTATATTATATACAGATAAAATTGAGAGGGAGAGAGAGAAGGAGAGAGAAAGAGAGTGTGTGCCCCGAGGCCCCTTCAGATAAATAGCAATTCTCCTTTCTGCTCTAGCATCTTCCAGAGAAGCCAAGGCTGGCCTGGGGTCTTGGCTTTTCTTGGGTTTGGGACAGGGATAGCATCTCAGGTCTGCTCTCTTTTGTGGTGTTCTCACGCCTGTCCCTTTCATAGGTACCACATACTCAGCATGCCCCACTTTTCTTCTGTCCTATACTGAAGGAAAAACTACCTCCATCCATCCATGGGACCCAAACAAAAAACATAGCAACCATCTTGGATGAGTTACATTCCCAGTTTCTCTATCATGTTAGTTTCCTTTTAAATTATTTCTCATACCCACAAGCCACCACACTGCGTGATCAAATGCAGAAATGCTTACATTCTGTGCATTCCATATTAGGGTAGAATACTGATCAGCTTTAAGAAGGAATGTAGCTGGAGAGCTTCTCTCCAGGTTCCACCAAGCCCCCGCAGTCCCACAACCCATGTATAAAATAATTACTCAGATGCTTATATTACTTATAAACTGTATGGCCCTGGCAGGCTTCTTGTTATCTACTTCTTCTATCTTAAAGTAAGAAATTTCTATTAATTTATAAGTTGCCACGTGGCTCGTTTCTTACCAGTACCTTACATCTTGCTTGTCATGGCGGCTCGCAGGTCTTTCTCTCTGCCTTCCTGTTCCCTCAATTCTCCTCTCTGTTAGTCCTGCCTATACTTCCTGCCTGGCTACTGGCCAATCAGTGTTTTATTTATTAACCAATCAGAGCAACACATTTGCCATACAGAACATCCCACAGCAAAGGAAGGAAATTCTGACCCATGTTTCAGGGTGAGTGAACCCTGAGGACATAGTGTGACAAATAAAAGCACTAAATTCTAGCCACTAGAACCTAAGGATAACTACAGAATGCTAAATGAAAACACACACACACACACACACACACACACACACACACACACACACACACATGATTCCAGTTATATGAGGTACTTGGAATAGTTAAAACAACCCAGACAAAGTAGAATGATGGTCTTGAGGGTTTGGGGGTGGGGAAAATAGAGTTATTTAATGGGACCAAGCTTTAGTCCTACAAGGTAAAGGAAGAGTTTGGATGCTGGCTGGTAGGGATAGTTGTAAATATGAATGTGTTAAGGTCATTGAACTGTAAATTTTATGTCTTGTGCTTTATCACAATAAAAAGATGGAAACATTTTCTAAAGTGGTGACATAGGGTGAAGAAAAACACCTGTTATTAGTACCATGGGCAGCCTCCATGACATCTGTAAGGATTCCCAGAGCCCTGACTGCAAAGCACAGCTGAAGTTAGAAGGGTATGGGAGGGGCTGGAGAGATGGCGCAGCAGTGAAGAGTGCTGACTCCTTTTTCCAGAGGACCTGGGTTCCATTCCCAGGACCCACATGGCAGCTCACAACTGTCTGCAATTCCAGTTCCAGGGACTCGACACCCACGGAAAAAATAATGCACATAAAATAAAATTTAAAGAAATTAAAAGAAGGGTATGGGAGAGGGTCATGCTTTCATCCTATAATGTAGGAGGAAAAAGCCTCATCAGTTTGATGACTTACTGTATTTAATTCATGTTTTGGATTAATTTTTATCCAATAGCTAATCTAAAACTTCACATGATTAAAGACATTCATGCTCATCTAAAACTTCACATGATTAAAGGCATTCATGGTTAGCAAACCAGAGCATCTGTAGATGCCTGCCTCCTTCTCAGTCACTTCCATCTTAGCTGAAGTGAGAGTTCCTCTTGCAGGCCATTTTCTCAAGAGGTAAAAACCCGTTGAGGCATTTCTGCAGCCACACTGGAGACACCTGGCTGAGATGTCTGCCCCATAGTCTCCTTCTCAAGAGGTGCTTTGTCTTTCTGCAGGGCTGGGGTCTTGTTTGAGGAAAGAGCTTCAGGGAGCAGTTCCTAAAGACAAAACACAAAGGAGAGAAGGTGTTTTTAGAGATTAAACACAGGGATACCAAGAACACACAACTGCTGTTTTTATGCTGGACACCCACAAAGAACAAAGCTAAAATTAACCTACTGCAGAGATCCATGAGATCAAACCTGCTGGGATCAAAGTGGTGCACAGGGACTCAGCAGCCTGCAGATAAAACCTCATGCAGTGCACTCTAGACTCTACAAAACATCAACTGCAATGTTCAGAATACACATAGAAATTACTAGACAGATGAAGAAGGAGGTGAATATGAGCCATTAACTTCAGAATGTCACAGATGATGGGAATAGTGGAGAGGGACTTAAAGTAGTCTTAAATACTTTCAAAACTATAAGGGAGAAACACAGACATAATAAGTAAAAATTAAGGTAGTCAAGAAAATGGAAACAGGAATTTAAGAGTTGAAAAGTATGGCTGCACTAAAAAAATTATAGAGGGGTTGGGGAGATGACTCAACCAATAAAGAGCTTGCTGTGTAAGTAGGAGGACATGTTTGATCCCCAAAAATGTAGTAAACAACAACAACAACAAAACACAAAAGGGCATGGTAGTGTGTGCTTGTAATCCCAATGCTGGGGAAGCCAGCACAGGTATCCCTGCAACTCACTGGGATGATCATCATCAAGCCTAGCCTAATCATTAAGCTTTAGGGCAGTGAGAGGCACTGCCTCAAAAAACAAGATGAGGGCTAGAAAGATGATTTCGTAGTTAAGAGAACTTGCTGCCCTTGAAGGAACCTAGGTTCAGTTCCCAGCACCTACATGGATGTGCACAAGTATCTGTAACCCTAATTTCAGGGGATCCAACACCCTCTTCTGGCCTCCATTGGTCCTTTGTGCACATGGCACACTTATACAAATGTACACAAACACTTATACACATAAAATAAATATAAATAAACATTAAAAAAAAGACAAGATGGATGGCATCTGAGACTGACCCCTGACTTTCACATGTATACATACATACATAGCCACTTATACACAAAAGGCAAAGAAAATAATCATGGAAATTCCTAGATAGAATGCTGGCCATGGCAGAGCAACAGAAATGATCCAACCTGAAGTTGAGGGAAAAGCTGCTGAGAATAAGTGACTTGATTATTTAATGCTCTATCATCTCCTCCAAGGCAGCAGAGCGGGTAGAAAGAATGTAAGATCAGAAAGAAGGGGTGGAACATTGTAAAACACTGTCTTCTGGGCATGACATACCCAGAAAAAAATGATGAGAGGGTGGAAGAGATGGTTTGGTAGGTAAAGCTTCAGGTCCTCATCTCTTCCATCTCAGTCGTTCAAAGAATAAACCCTGGAGGGTGAGTTCCCTTTCATGAAGTTCAACCTTTAATATTGCAAAATGTGGCCAACTACAAAGTACAAGTTTCAGACCTACACAATGGGGTTACTCAAAAATATATTGCAATATATTCACCCGTATTCATAGTTACTTTGGAGTGCATAAATTGGACTCATGGGATTGTCAAAAAGTACTATCAAACCAACTTCCTGATGGGTATGGTAGCTTGTGATTGTAATTCTTAGCACTTGGGAGGCTGAGGCAAGAAGATTGCAGTAAGTTCCTGGGCTACATAGTGAATCTCTCTCTTTCTTTGTTCTAGGGAATTGAACCCAGCACTTGTACATACTAGCTGATTCTCTGACACTGAGTGATATGGTCTTTAGGATTTTTATTTGCCCAGGCTGGCTTTGAATTTACCTTGTAGTCCAGGCTTCTAAATCTGGTGTATCTTCCTTTTAATTTATTGACAAGACATTCAGCCTCATAAAATAAGCCCACTGGTTATGAGAGTGTATTAGATTGCTGAGTATCTTAGCATCAAATGTAAACAAGCTTAGTGTCTTCTGAGTTGGCTTTGGGACAGCAAAACTGGTGAATGCAGAGGACCTCACTAAGGATATTAAGGACATATTGATGATGTCTAAGGAGATATTGATGATTAAGAAGACATCTGGTGTCAATCCCAATATTACACTGAAGAGAGTTCTCTAACCAGGTACTGTATAAAATGGTGCGATTTTTAGAAGTTTGTAGAAGACTGTGGGAGACTAAAGTTCTGCTTGCCAAACGGAGGAAGAGAGAGTTGCTTTCAACTCTTTGGAGTCAATAACTGATGTGTGTATAGTATAGTAGAGGGCACACATAAATAATCATAATCGAAAGATAAAATGCTAAGTAGAATGCTTTATGTAATATATGCATTGAGAATTATATTTGGTCTCTGAGAAATATGGATTATTTTTAAGGGGCTTCAAGGAATTTGAAAGAAAGAATACTTTAAATCTGAAGTTTTTAAAGCCAGTCATATTCACATTCATGACATTTTCTGAAATCTAAAGTAAATTTGCCTTTTTCATTTTTCTTTTGCCGAGTATTTTATGGACAAGTTGTCAATGAGCTTGGCTTATGCCTGAGGTGCAGCTGTGAGGGACAGGCTGGCCAAGGGTAGCCTCAGTGTGCTCTGCCCAGTGCCAGGTGCCTCGAGGATTTCCTGGAAATCCTGCCTCAGGGTGGCTGAGCTGGATTTTCCTTCTTCCCTCCTACCTGGTGACACTTGTCACACCTCTGCTGAATCTGCTCTTCCTCTTGTTTCACCATTTCGGCCATTCTCCCTTCCTTGAGGCTCCTGTCGTTCTCCTCCTTTAGCTGTGCCTCCTCTTGCCTTGTCTGGGTAATATGACAGAGACAAATCAGGTCCCACCCCTTAGACAGGAACCCTCCCTTACCTGAGATAGGCCTGGACCGACCAGGCCCACTGAACTGCTTCCTATTATAAGGATTAGCTAGCCTGTAGCTCCAAACCCAGCTCTGAACTCTCTGAGCTAGGTTCTCTCCTTACCCTCAGAGTCCTCAGACATCAGAGGTAGCTGGGACTAAGCAATCCTCGCATGGTGGTTGAGCCAAGAAACTCTCCAGGGCAGCTCAGGACTCTGCCTTGGACGTGGAGCTGTTCTGAGCAAGCCGCCCCCGCCCTCCCAAGCAGGCCCAGTACACAAACGCACCTTTTCTTCAGCATTAGTCACATCCCTATAATGGTAAAGCCAGTGAGCCAAGTACTCTATTGGGTCACTGGGCCGCACACTTGCCACCTCTGCCAGTGCCTGGGTCAGGCTGTTTCCAAAACACTTCTTCAGGTAGGCAGTTTCCATGCTGCGGACCTGGGAAACACCAGATCCTCCGTTTTACAAATGCGATCCGCCTTTTAAAATAGGTTCATTCTAACAACAGATTTGTTCCAGGACAAACATGAGGTGTTTCTGGATCACACTTATGGTAGTTTTCCATTACAACGACAGAATACTTGAGATCATCAACTACAGAAGGAAAAGCTTATTGTGGCTCTGTAAGCATTTGGTCCCACCATTCTCGACCTATAATGAGGCCAAACATTGTAAGAGAGGGTACATGGAAGGTAAGAGTAGCTCACTTCAGGACGGGGAGGAAAGGAAAGAGAAAAAGAGGAAGAGAGGGATACATACTCCGACCCCACACATGAGAGAAGGGGGAGAGAGAGAGAGGGAGAGAGAGAGAGAGAGAGAGAGAGAGAGAGAGAGAGAGAGAGAGAGAGAGAGAGAGAGAGAGAGAGAGAGAGACACGAGGGGGACGGGACTCCTCTCCAAGGCTGTGACCCCAGTGACCTAACTTCCTTTCACTAGGCTGCCCCTTCTACAGACTGCTATTTCCCAATATGGGCACAGCCCCACAAACAAGCCTTTAGCATATGACCCTTTAGGGGATGTTTAAATTTGGGATCACAACACTCTGCCCCTGGCTCCCAAAGGTGAGTACTTACCTCACCATGAAAAATATATTTGGTAGATCTTTAAGAGTCCCTGAAATCTTTTGCTGTTGATTTGGGGTTTGTTTTTTGAGACAGGTTTTTGTAGTGTGGCTCAAGCTGTCCTTGAACTTGTCATCCTCTTGCCTCAGTCCTCTGAGTGATGGAACTATAGGCATGCACGACTGTGCCTAGCACTGAAGTCTTTAATAGTCCCAGAACTACTCAAAAGTCAAAGTCCTAAGTTTTCTGTCAGGGGAAACTCTAAGATATGAGCCTCTGCAGAAATCAAAAGAAGTGGGCCAAGGTGGCTCATGTCTGTCATCTTGGCCCTCTTGAGGCTGAGGCAAGAGGATAAAGAATTAGAGGCAGCAGAGAAGCTTCTGCCTGCAGTGGGCAGTGGCTAATACAGGCTCATGACTGGTCCAAGAAGTGCTGAGAATAAGTGTCTATTGAGTGGTCAGTCCTAAATGGGACATCTGTATCAATCCTCACCCCAAAATTCAAGGAACATCATAGAAGAGGGATGGAAAGAATATAAGAACTAGACGGTGGGGATGAGTGCTGTGACATGCTGTCTTCATTCTGTGACATGGCATGAACTCACTGCCGCTATAGCTACCTATACAAGGTCAAGTTAGTACAACTGGCCACTGTCCCAACAGGCAGCACTAATTAGACTCAGAGAGCTATTAGTCAGACAGCGAGAGGAAAGAAGAGAGCAAAGGACTGTGCTGGAGGCATACAGGAGGAGTTGGACGAGGAATTCATGCTAGATATAATCAAAATGCATTGATTAGATGTGTGAAATTGTCAACAAATAAATAAATGATATTCTATTGAAAAAGAATTTGAAGCCAGGTTGAACAACAGAATGAGATCCTCTCTCAAAAAAAATTGAAAGGGCAAATTATTAATACATATTTCTGAGAAAAAATGGAGGTCAAACCTGATGGTGAAGGCCTAAAATTCCAGTTACTGAGGAGTCTAGGGCAAGAGGATCAAAAGTTCAAGGCCTTCTGGGTGGCAGACCAAGTTCGAGTCCCTTGGCCATGTGCAGACTACTTCTTTCTCTCTCTGCTCTGGACTCTCCACATGCCTCTGGCTGTTCTCTCCTGCCCATCTACAATAAAACCCTCCTCTTAACCACCATCAAGGAATCTTATTGTCAGTTTATTTACTTATTGGCACTTTGGTCTTCTGAGCCCTTGTGAGAACTGCCCATCAAGTTCTGCTTATTGTAATATGAATCTTAAAAGGTCTTATAAAAAAAAAACAAAAACAAAAAACAAACAAACAAACAAACAAAAAAAAAACAGAGTGAATGCTGAAAGATCAGAGAAGCAGAACAGCCAGTCACTAGTTCTTAGCTCTACGTAATTCTCAGTCTGAAGAGAGTGAGTTCCTGTTTCCTCATGCCTTATATACCTTTCTATGTCCTGCCATATCACTTCCTGGGATTAAAGGCCTGTGTCACCACTTCCTAGCTCTGTTTCTCTCATGTAGCCCAGTGTGGCCTTAAACTCACTGAGATACAGATGGAGCTCTGCCTCCCAAGTGGTAGGATTAAAGGTGTGTGCCACCACTGCCTGACCTCTGTGTCTAATTTAATGGCTGGCTCTCTCCTCTGATCCTCAGGCAGGCTTTATGGGGGTACACCACAGTTTATAGCATTGTAGGCTGGTGTCTACAAATTTTTCAAAATTCCTTCCACAAATTCCCAAGATTTCTGAAGCACATTATCAAGTAATCAAACCAATGAGCCTGATTTCATGGTGCCAATTTTCATATTAGTAAACTCTCTGTTGCTATAACAAAATGCCTGAGATAATCAACTAAATGAGGCAGTGTTTACTTTGGCCCATGACTTTGGATTTCTGAGGTCATAGTCACTTGGCTTCATTGGTTTTGGGTCTATGGAAAGGCAGAGAGAACTTCAGGGTAGGGAGGAACACATTAGAACAAAGCTGCTCACCTCATGAAAAGTCAGTAGAGAGGGAGGGAGGGGTCAGAGTCATACAGTTCCCTTCAAGGACATGCCTCTGGTGATGCACCTTCTTCCTATAGGCCTTACTCATTAAAGATTCCATCAGCCTCCAACAGTGTTACATGTATAAACTGACCACATGGCAGTTCCGTGGTATGGTTAAGGGGAAGGTTTTTATTGTAGATATGAGAGAGAGAACAGCCAGAGGCATCTGGAAGAGTCCAGAGCACGGGGGGGG